CAGGACATGCTAGGGTCATGAATTTTGGTTGGTAGATAGCTCTTGGGGTAGGGAAGAAGTGACATGAGTTTGGGTCCCCTAGCGCCTTGTTCTGGAACTGCAGGAGCATTTGTTGAAAAAAAATTGAAGGACGATAACTCAAGAACCGGTTGACGTATTGTCGTGATTTTTGGTATGTAGGTAGTTGAAGTGATGCTTGACATAATCAGATGGCAATTATGCAAATCAGGAGCTAATATGCATAATTAATGAGGAAATTCTATAAATCTGCTTTGTTCGATCATAGAACTATGAAACACTTGTGACATCTACTTGAAAACGAGAAAAACATCTGAGGATATAGATTATGTAAATGAGGACCTAATTTGCATAATTAATGGCAAATTCATATAATTCCATAGTTGTAACTGCTGCACCCCGAATTTCATACTTGCCACGTGAAGGTGAACATCAATAAACATAATTTATTCAAATCATGACCTCATTTGCATAATTTATAAAGAAGTGCTATAATAGCCTTTTTGTTATTATAAGGCTGTCATTGGATGGAGAATATGATCAACTGATATAATCCATGCAAATGAGGCTCTTATTTACAAAATCAATGATTAAAATTGTATAATTCGTCACCCGCAAGGGTTAACATCATTTGGCGAAGGTATGAGATCGTGGAACTCTTGTTCTCTTTATTGTTCTTGTTTGTTGATCAGCGATGTGATGTATGCATATTATTATGGAGTTCATTGTGTAAAAATGCTGTTACTAAACTGAAGTAAAAACAATACATTATAATTATAGTTACATATATAGGAATAGACTTTACAGAATCACAGGTGACAGTTGGCTGATTTGCCTACTAATGGTTTGAATACGTCTTCAAATAATTTGCGTGTATATGATTATGAATATACAAAAACAGCAATCGCTTGTATGTATTGCTGGTTGTTTGAATCAATAACATTTATTACAATAATGCATCTATTACAGATCCCACACCAGTTAGGTCTCTACAGCTCCGTAACATTTCTTCAACTGTCCTTCTGGCCACCTGGGAGGAACCAGAAGCCCTGAATGGAGAACTGTTGTACTATCAAGTGGAACTATTCAGAGGCTTTATAAAGGTTGCTGATAACACAGTGTACCCAGGAGATGCTCTACGAGTTAACTATGAGGGATTGGTTCCAGCAACAGAATACACAGTTAGAGTAAGTATTTCAACTTAAACTGGTTAATCATGATTTTGGTCTCATATTCATGGAAATTATGAATTAGAATGCAAATATATAATCAGCTTCTACACAACACATACATTGTAATTTTCTTTGCCTTGTACATTTGTAGGTTGTTCCCTTCAACCTTGGTCCTTGTAGAGGGATTGAAAGTAGAACCAACATGACAACCAGTGATGGACGTAAGTACTGAATTTGTTGTTTTTCTGTTTGTAAGCTATAGAAGTGATAGCAACATTTTAGTAGTTCATTTTATGTTGTTACGATAACAAAGCCAAGCCAACAACTGTGACTTAATACTTTATTACATATATTGTTGTGCTCAAATCTAGATCTATTAAAATATTTCCATTTAATAGCTCTTTCATGGCAAACACTGAAGTAACTTTTAGAACATGCTATAAATGAAATACGAGTACATGTACAGTACCGGTAATAAAAGTTTTAACAATCTTTGGTTCCAATGCATCTCATCATCTGACCATGTTTTCTGGTTTTCCTCAGTACCCAGTGCTCCAAGAGGAGTATATCTGTCCAGAAGTTACTCTGCCTGTATTGTACAGTGGAATGTACCAAAGACTCCGAATGGCACCATCATCAAATACACTGTCAGTACACACCCGCCATATGTACTTATCTTTTGTTTTCTTAATTCTGCAAAATGTGTGCTTTTTTTAATTCGCACGCTCGCATCAGTTTTTAGGATGTTATTCATACATTTTGTATAATCAATTCAACATGGCCTATACATTTGCAACCATTATGGTATAGCCTAACAAACTGCTGCTCTTTTTATTCTTACTCAAACACATTCATGTATATGGTGACTAGTCCCTCCAACTCTGTCCTGCCACTTGCTACATAATGTAACCCAACACCACAGGGTGTCTGCTACAGCACCAGTTACCATAATTATTTTATAATTGCTGTCATTGACCTTATTTGTTTGGAGAGGAAGAAGAAGAAACACAGGAAAAACAATGTTTTTCCCTTCTGCAAACTTAAGGTAAATATATTAACAAACACTAGAAAGGCCAACATTTGCTTCGGAGCAAATGTAGGAATTTCAGTCCATACCCTTCCCTAAACAAAAATGAAAGATTCTAAATAAGCCATACTGCAATTATCTAATTGAGATCAAGGATACAAGGACAAGCAAACTTTTAATCTCGACAGCTTTATTCACAAAATTAGCACTTGACAATTGTCTCCCATTTATTTTGCAAAGATCGATACACACAGCTTTACTTTACACTTATATATTGCAGGCATCTAAATACAACTACTAATGACAAGATTGTAAGTACTCTGAAGCTCTAATTGCACAGAATTGGAGACTATACCGACATGATCTATATATACTTTGAAACCATACATTCAAACATATTGAATGAATAAACTACACACGACTTACAAATACTAGGAACCTGTACTTAGGCCACACCATTTTAATGTGTCGGTTCTCGGATTCGCCTCTTCATTATTTTGATTTGAAAAAAAAAAAAAGATTCTGGTTCTGAATCAACTCAAAAATGCTCAATGCCCCCAACAGTTGAGGAAAGTTCTTTTCTTCCGAGTTGTTACAGCTTTTCCATCTATATGAATTCAGTGGTTTGATGAAAAGTTAAAAATTCATTGTTTGAATTTTAACCCAGCCTTCTGTGTTGACTTAATGGCTCCTATCCTAGCATTTGGGGCTATAATAGGGTGCCTACATCTGCTTTTATTTTTTTTATTTTGTTTCGCCGTCTATTCATATTTTTTTCTAAGAAAATCTGAGAACCAACAAATTAAATTGGTGTGGCCTTATATATTGGTTAAGCTATACTAGGCCAGTTTGATCTGATTTGATTATATGGATGTCAGCCTCTGCTGCAAGCCCTGTCTCTCTTCCTCTATCGACAAAGTTGGTAAAATTTACGACATAATCAATTTACGGAGTACGTTTGCTCAGTTTGCAGATGTTTTGTATGATTGTCGTAAACTTCTTTTGGGAATGAACGAAAACCGATGCACTAACAGATGTCATCCATATAATCAAATCAACATGGCCATATTTACACTCATATAAACTATGAAGCCATACATTGAATAAGGTATACATTACTATGATTATCATAATGGTTACCTTTATTTCTAAAATCACACTAGTGAGCTAATAGAGTCAAAGAAAGCAAAGTAAAGCAATAGAATTTCTGTACAAGCTATAATAGTCCTTCATATGATTCGTTCAAACTAGGTTGTTTGCAAGCTACACGACCCCTAAAAACCTCTCGTTTATGAAGGCAAACAATTGGGGGACGTACACCAGAGAGTGTGCAAAACAACCAAACTTCTCTGGGATTTCTGACTTATTTCTGACTCTTGAAAAGATAACATTGCAAATCTTACATTTTCACACACTGTGTTTCTAGAATTGTTGCAGTCGGATGATGTACATGTATATCCATCTGTGGATGGCTGGGTCCTACACTGTCTGGTCCCTCCATGGTCAGTTTCTCATGGATGGTTCTGCTCCCTGGTGAATCCCATCTGAAGGATAGAAACAGGAGGGTAACATG